AAAAAAAAAAAAAAAAAATTATATATATATATATATATATATATATATATATATATATATATTTATATATATATGGCAGAGGTAAAGGTAGATGGGCTAGTTTATCTTGGTTATTGTCAAAACGACCATCACCAGAGTTCCTGGGCTCCTATAAGAACAATGTACTGCTTTCTTAAACTAAGGAGGCTATACTATGCTTTAATGTTTATATTCTTTCAGAGTACAGGCTGTTTATTTAGATCAGGATTTAGGAAATTACAGCCGACAGGCCAAATCTGGCCTGCTGCTGTTTCCATACAGCTAATGAGCTAAGATAGTTTCTACATTTTTATGTAGCTGAAAAAATTAAAAGTGTAATAATACTTAATGACATGAAAATTATGTAAAATTCAAATTGCAGCATCCGTAAAGTTTTATTGGAATGCAGTCAAGGCTCATTTGTTTACCTGTCGTCTTTTGGCTTTTTCTGTGTTACAGTGGCAAGAGTTGAGTAATTGTGACAGATTGTAAGTCACAAAACCATTTACAGAAAGTGCCACTCCTAGTTTAGACATTTATCTTCAACTGTTCACAGTCTTTCATATAATTATTTCTGAAGATCTTAGGTGCCATTATTGGTAAGGTTGCAGCAGCCTTACCAAGACATACTTTTGGTCCGGGAAGATTGTTTCTCTGTGACTTATTCTTGAGGAAATGCTTCATGAAGCCAGGGGGCAAATTCTAGCTAAACATTTATGCGCTTAAATATGAGTGAAAGCTTTTACTCTAGGGCAGTGGTTCTCACCCCTACTTACATATTAGGATCACCCAGAAGCCTTAGAAACATTCCAGTGAAATCAAGAATTGCTGAGGATGGTGATGGCTGAGCATTAATATTCTAAAAACCTTCCTTGGTGATTCTAATATATAATCAGAATAGGAAACTATTGCTATTGGGGCTAATGATGGACCCCTTCTAGTTCACTAGTTACTGGACAGATTGGCTTGACTTACTGCTGCTATTATTATAAGAAAATTTGCAATACTCATGTGATTGAAAGGAAGGTTTGAATATGTATCCTGTGTATCCTTTATGTTTCTCTGATTCTTTCTCTGAGTAAATGACCTTACGCTGGAATGTAACCTTTCTATGAAAATGGTAGAAACTGCATTTTAGTTCATATAAATATATAACTAGCAGAGGTCAGTGTGCTCAGAGAAACATCTAAAAGAAAGTTAACTTTCTGTTCAGGAAATTTGAAGCCGTATTTATTAGAATTGTTCGCTTTACCCAACACTAAGGCAACTCCAGGCATGGCCATTAGTCACAATTACTGCTTCAAAGCATCTACGGCTCTTCTAGCTGCATACATACCTTTATAATTGTATCTTTCTGGTGTGATGATGCTTTTATTATAAAAATATCTTTTTCTCTGTAAATAGTTCTTGTTTTATTTTTTCACTTTTTTTTTTTTTTTTTTAAGATTTTATTTATTTGACAGAGAAACAGCGAGAGCAGGAACACAAGCAGGAGGATTAGGAGATGGAATGCAGGCTTCCTACTGGACAGGGAGTCCGATGTGGGGCTTGATCCCAGGACCCTGGGATCATGACCTGAGCCAAAGGCAGATGCTTAACCGACTGAGCCACCCAGGCGTCCCTGTTCTGTTCAGTCTCTTTCCTATTTTTCAGATTGATAATTTCTTTTTTTTTTTTAAAGATTTTATTTATTTATTTGACAGACACAGATCACAAGCAGGCAGAGAGGCAGGCAGAGAGAGAGGAGGAAGCAGGCTCCCCGCTGAGCAGAGAGCCCGATGCGGGGCTCGATCCCAGGACCCTGGGATCATGACCTGAGCCGAAGGCAGAGGTTTTAACCCACTGAGCCACCCAGATGCCCCTCAGTTTGGTAATTCTATTGATTATCTTCCAGTTCACTTATTTTTTCTCTTGTCATCTCGTATCTATTTCTTAGCTTCTCTAGTGAACTTCTCATTTGTTACTGTACATTTCAACCCTATAATTTTCACTTGGTCCTTTTTTATAACCTATCTCTGTTAAACTTTTTGGTTATTTTTAAGAACATTCTTGAGTTTATTTTTAAGCTTCTCTTTCTAGGGGGTTGCCCTGTGTCTGCATAGCTTAGTGGTTGGCCAGTCGCTAGACAGAGGTTGTGCTCAGACACCCCAATCAGTCAGATTTCTCCCCTTTGCTGATGGATCTGTTTTAGATGGGGAGTGAATTCAGTGTTTGGGCAGTTTTCAAGTCTTTCCTGGCTTTTACTTTTTGCTGAACCCCGTTTAATTTCCTGTGCACATGCATGTAGCCTCAGAGTTGGCCAGGAGTGGATAGCTTGGTCTCTGGTCTCTGCTACGCATGTGTGCAGCCTCTGATTATCCATAAGTCTGCATTTTCCAACCAAATTGCATTGTCAGGCTAGCAGAGCCATCAGCTGTCCCTGTTTGCATAGCAATGAGTTTACTGATAAAACTGTTGGGTATTGGGGCACCTGGGTGGCTCAGTGGGTTAAGTCTCTGCCTTCAGCTCAGGTCATGGTCTCAGGGTCCTGGGATGGAGCCCCATGTCGGGCTCTGCTCAGCGGAGAGTCTGCTTCCCCCTCTCTCTCTGCCTGCCTCTCTGCCTGCTTGTGATCTCTCTGTTAAATAAATCTTAAAAAACAAACTTGGGTATTGGTATTACCTGCTGCTCCAAATTGAGTAAACACCCCCTTTAACCACAGCAACCCGCCGGGCCACATGTTCTGTTTTGCCCCAGCAGAACCTTCTCAGTCACTGAGTTGGGGGAGGAGGGGAGTGGGAGCAGCTCTAGGCTAGAATGCCATAGTCTCCCACTGTTCTTATACAAAGTTTTCCAAACATAAACACATCTCAGATTGTTGTATGCTTTTGGCCAGTTTCTAGAGCAGCAAAGTTGTTTGGTCAATTTTTTTTTTCAGCGTTATAGTTGCTTTTTTGAGCAGAGGATTTGCTGACCACCTTCCCTTGGCTATAGCTGGAAGTGCCACCCAAAGCATCTGAGACTTGAATTATGATTTGAGTAATTGGAGAAGTTGAAACTTGGAAAAGATAAATGCCTCACTTGGAAAAGGATTGCATTCCTACCAAAACTGTCTACATAGCCCACTGCAAACTGGTGATCCAGTTGTTTAAAATGATTAGGACTGATAATGGGAACTGGCTAGGGAACAGGTACACGCCAAGTTTCCCTTCTGTCTTCTGCTGGTAGTTCTGTATTTTTTCCATGTGCTACTTTTCACAAACCCTGTATTAACTGACACTAACTTCCTTTAGTCCTTCGAGATTGGTCGGTCACTGGTTACCTAACAGGCACAGCTGTTCGACTTCCGCAGTATGCCATCTTGTTTTAGCCTTTACAGAGGCATTTGTGCAGTTGTTCAGTATTCTATCTTACTGGTTAGGCAAAATGTTTGGGAATTGGAAAA